AGTGTCGGTTCACCTATATTGGTTTGGGGGTTTGGGTGTGTGTGTGTGTGTGTGTGTGTGTGTGTGTGTGTGTGTGTGTGTGTGTTTGCTTTCCCCTCTTTTTTATTGTTATGTACCTTCGAATCTGATCCAATTGGCACAGGAGGAGAAAGGGAGCTCTGGTGGCCTAGTGGCAAGATGCTGCACTGCAATCCCAGAGGTATGCGATTCAAATCCACCAGATGCTCTGCTGGAGAAGGAGGGGCAGTCTCCTCCTGTACCAGTCAGATCTGATTTGACGGTACACGTAAAAATTAAAAAAAAAAAAAAAGTAATATAGACCCGCTGCTCTGTCCTTGATGTGTCGGGGTGCCAGCTGGGGTCCCTCTGCCCAGCGTGTGCATGCAGTGAGGGGAAAGATTGCAGTCAGTCCCACACCCCCACTTTCCAAGTCCCTTGGCTGTGGGCAGCTCCCTCGATTGCTGGGCTGTGAGGGTGCGGTCACCGGGCCTCTTTGACCCTGGTCCGTGTGGCCTGGTGATGGGTGCTGGAATCCCCAGCCAGTGCAGGACCCCAAGAGTGGACTGGCCAACCGCCCTGGTCCTGGTCCTGCTTGTCCTTGGTGATGGGTGCTGGAATCTCCATTCCCAGCCAGTGCAGGACCCCAGTGTGGACTGGCCAGCCGCCCTCGCCCTGCTCATTCCTGCGCCCCAGGCCAGCTCACGTTGCTGGAATGCAGACTAACCCCCAGCTTAGCGGAGGCAAGGGAACCTGAGCCCAGTGCTACACGCGCTGGTTGTCACCTGTGGGGCGACACCTTCCCTGTTGTCACCTGTGAGCCCAGCTCTGTCATTGTGGGTGCTTAGAGGACTGTGTGAGTGTGCTGTTGGCAGGAAGCCAGGGCACTGGAGCCAGGGTGACTGTGCCCAGGACCTCTGGGGGTGTCGAGGCTGTGGGCTCACCTGTGGCTGAGGGGGTGCTCACCACAGGCTGAATCAAGGACATAGCCCCCTGTGATCTTGGTGGACATCTAGAGGTGGTCATGGTGGGCTGGCATGTCGTGGAAGAGGGCCCTGCAAGGTGGCTGCAGGTGGGAGGGCCACAGGTGTATCCCCAGGGAAATGACCTTACCTGTGGAGAGGCAGCACTTCTCACCTGGGTGATTGTGTCCCTGGGGGACACTGGGCACATGAGGTTGTCAAGACGTGGGGGTGCTGCCCAACACCTGCAGGACACACCTCTCCTCCCCAGGGAAGCGTCTAGCAGGGTGAGCAGTAAGCCAAGGGAACAGCGTCGAGCTGGAATGCTTTGAAAATGGCAGTTAAAATTTTATAAGCATAACACTCTTAATTAAAGCTCATTTCGGAACAGAGGGCTGTGTTACAGGGTCCTGGCCCTGCCTACACGTGAGATATCAGGCTTGTGTCCACGTCTCCGGTGCGTTGACAAGCCTCCCCTCCCTGTGTCCACCAGAGCTGTGTGGAGGTTTCCAGCTGGCCTGGGCTGCTCGTGTGGACAGTGCTGTTGGCAGGTGCCCCCGAGGGACAGCTGGGACAGTGAGATACGCGTCTCGGGGCACAAGGTGCTTGGTGCGTGAGTGCAGTGCCAGCTTTGGTGCTGTGTCCCCCAGCCCACGCTCTGCGGGAGGAACTGTCCAGCTCGGGTGTCCCCCGTTCCCTGGCTGGTGACCGCATCTTCACGTGGCCAGCCTTCCTCTTCTTTGGAGCCTCACTTGTGTAAGGACACCGGTTGACTTGGTTTCCTGGTGATGCTGGAGATGCCGCAGGTGGATGTCTTTAACACACATTGTCACAGCTCAGAACAGCAGCCCAAATTCAGGGGACCAGTGCTGGGGCTGGGCCTCCTCCCCATGGGCCAGTGTTGTCCTCTGTGACACCGAGACTCCTCCACCCCCTTCTTATCTGCAGTCCTTCAGGCCACGGCCTGGGGACACCACTCCCTGTACCCAGACCAGGGTCTCGGTCAGTCACTGGTGGCCCCCTTTTAATCCTTTACAGCTGTTTGCTTTATCAGATTGTGGCAGATCATTACATATTCTGGGGGACACACAGTTCAGTTCCTAACACCAGTCACAGGACTAGGCCCCCCGAGTGTCCTCATAGGAACTGGGCTAATAAACTTGCAGAGACCCTTTCCAAGCCGTGTCCTCAGATCCTGCTGTAGGACCCCAGCATACCTTTCCCGGGGACCCAGTTTACCCCTCAGCACAAAAGATCTGTGGGTACTGAGTTGGGGTGGATGGGCGTGGGACTGGAGGAGGAGGAGGAGGTCTTTGGGGAGTCTACCCCTCCTGGGGGTTTTAAGTTCCAAGGAGAGAAGTTGTGTCTGTCCCATCCCACAGAAGAGCCTGCTGCCAGTTGCTGCCTTCTGGGCAGGAATTGCTGCCCCTGGGTGCTGGCTGGGAGCCCACTGGCCCTCCTGCTGCCCCTCAGGGCTGGGTGGGCTGAAGTAACACCAGAGACAGTGGTGGGTGGGGGTCAGGTGAGCCCCCAGAGTCGGTTCTCCCCAAGACATCTCCAGGCCATTATGTGAGTGCAGCACCCGGGGGAAAGGCCAAGCCTGCTACAGATCCGCGAGGCAGCCCCTTGGGGGCAGGAGACACCCCCCTTGGGGGCAGGAACCACTGTCGTCCTCACCCTTCCCCACGTCTGCCTGGTCCTGCCCGGGGAGCAGCTGCTTTCAGCAGCACCTGCTTCATCCGCTGAGAGAGTCTTTGTGAGAGGGTCTGTTCAGTGTCCTGCCAGGACCTTGGCCGCGACTCGAGGGAGGGCTGCTGTCCTGCTGGGGGGAAAGTGTGTGCCCGTGTTTCATTATTAACACTTTATGTTTTGTTGTTGTTGAGAACAGCACATATGCAGCAAAATACACCACGTCAGCGGCTTCTCTGCGAAGAGCTCCCCTCCCCGTGGACACAAACCCCAGCTCTGTCTGAGCCCTGGTGGTGTCGTGTCAGGGTCTGATCCCATGGCGTGGCTCTTAAAGACAGTTTTCAGGGCAGACTTTAACTATGGAAAACCTAAACTGTTGTCTGGTTTTAAGAATTTAAGGGATGTTTTAGGATAAGGGTAAGGATTATCCTAGGGCAGTGGTTTTGGGGGTTTATCTAGCTTTGATGGAGACTGCGAGAATTTGAGGTTCTTTGTTCCCCCGTTTTGATCTGGATTCTTGTAGAATCTTTGATAAGCATGTTCAGTAATGGGGTGAGTCTTGCTGCAGCCTTTTGGGTAGCAGGTCCCCAGGTCTGTCTGATGCAGTACCCCGGCAGGGTCGAACCACCCCAGGCAGGTGGGCCCTCCTTGTGACCACCTTGATGGTTTGTCTGGGATGTGAATGGGCTGCACTCTGTCCGTCTGTCTGCTGATGTACACTGGGGTCATTTCCTCTGGATGTCAGGGTTATGCTGGTGGGCAGGTGTGATGGACACTGGGCTCATCTCCTGATGTTGGGGTGAAACTGTTGAACAGGTGTAGCGGACACTGAGGTCACCTCCACCTGATGTCGGGATGGCACTGGTGGACAGGTGTGGTGGACACTGGAGTTGGGTCCACCTGATGTCAAGGTGACACTGGTGGACAGATGTCATCAAAAGTGGAGTCACCTCCACCTGATGGCGGGATGACATTGGTGGACAAGTGTGACAGACGCTGGGGTCATCTCCCTGTGACAGGGTGACACTGGTGGACTGATGTGTTAGACACTGGGGTTGTGTCCTCCTGATGTTGGGGGTGACACTGGTGGACAGATAGGGTGGACACGGGTTGTGCCTGCCTGATGTCGGGGGGGGGGTGATGCTGGTGGACTGGTGTGGTGGACACTGGGGTTGCCTTTGCCTCAGGTTGGGGTGATGCTGGTGGACAGGTGTGATGGTACCGGGGTTGTGTCCACCTGATGTTGGGGCGATGCTGGTGGACAGCTCTGTGTGTGTTTGTTTACATCCTCTGGAGGGTCACCCATCCAGAACTGTCTGGTTTTGAGATGACTCCATGACCAGTTTCTGCAGCAACTTCCAGATTTTCCTGAAGTGGCCACTGGGGCCGAGGGCTGTGGATACCTCTGGGGGTGTTGTGGGCACAGCCTACTAAGGGAGGGGGTCTGGAGGAGCTGTGAGATAAGCTCCCGATAGGCAGGAGGCAGTGACCGGGAGCGGGGTGTGACAGATCAGTTGAGGACTGGGCGCCCAGGGGTGTCTGAGAAGTTGGGGCCCTGTCCAGCTTGAGTCTAGCTGGGTTCGAGGAGGGCCAGCCTGGGGTTGCTTTGAGACCTTCGTCTGGGGAAGTGCCCTGTGAGGGGGCCCCGCCCGCCCTGAGTGACATGCTGACCCAGGACACCTCCCAGTCCTCATGGTCCTGAGCCAGCATGTGTACCAGCTGCCTGGACAAGGGTGTTCCTGGGTGCCTGACCCGAGCTGCCCCGCTATCTCAGCTGTGAGGTCGGGACAGCTGTTGTGACGGGGAGCTGGAGGGCTTGAGCCTGACCCCGAGGCAGGAAGAGGCCACGGGGACACAGCTGTCAGCTGGCTGACACCCAGGCACCTGTCTGCTGACCACAGCTGGAACCCAGGCGCTGCCCCTGCCTGTGGGGTGGCTGAGGGGGAGGGAAAGGTGAAACCCAAGGCGGCCCTGCAGGAGGTGACTGCCTGCCCCCCATCCCGCCAACCCCATGAGCACGCGGGTTGGGGAGGTTGATGAGGCCCCGTAAATCAAGGGTCCTGGCACCACCTGTGATCGTAGGAGGCAGGAAGTGTAGGATGGCTGCTGGCCTCGGGTGGGGGAGCCCTGGGGGCCACCTGAGCCAGAGTCGTCTCCATGCCTGGCACTGCCTGCATCAGAACGGGACAGGCTACCGGGAAAGGCTCACAGCAGAGGAACGGGGGGCTGTCACTGGGGCCATCAGGGCGACAGTCCTCCACATCCCACCAGGGACCCTGAAGATCAGAAGAAGGGGTCTAGAAGTCCCTGTGACTGTTGTGGCGGGTCCCACAGAGCGGGGACAGACCACACACACTCATTCTCCCTTGGCTCTGGAGGCCACGGACTGAGTTCATGGTGAGGGCCGGACGTTGGACCCTGAAAGCCAGGGGAGCGGCCCCTGTGTCTCCCAGGTTGGGGTCACCTACACGCATCTCCCCATCATCGCCTCTTCTTTGCAGAGGACCCACCCTGTTCCAGCGTGACCTCTGACATCTGCCGAGACTGCCCATGGGGTCAGGGTCACAAGTCCAGTGTGTCTCTGGCTCTGTTGCAGCCTCTGTCCAGGGGAGGCTGTGTGCAAATGGACATGGCGCCCAGAGGCTCGGCTCCAGGGGGCACCGTTCCCACTTCACGCCCCCACCCTGTTCCCCAGGTGACCGGGATCAAGGCGCTGTACGAGTCGGAGCTGGCAGACGCCCGCCGGGTCCTGGACGAGACCGCCCGGGAGCGCGCGAGACTGCAGATCGAGATCGGGAAGCTGCAGGCCGACCTGGAGGAGGCCAACAAGAGGTGAGACCGGGGCCGCCGCCAGGGACACTGCAGCGTCCACACCGCCACCCCAGCTAGGCTGGTGGGCACACCCCGTCCTGCCTGCCGGGGCAGCCCGGTGTCTGTCACTGGTCACTGTGCTGGCCCCGCTTGATGGTAAGGAAAGTAGAATGGTCACTGTCCACACGGGAAACATGGCTCATTCCTGGCCAGCACCCCTCGTGGACGGCGTCCTGACCAGCCTCCATGGACGGATGGGAAGGGCTGTGTGGAGGTGCAGGCGTGGTGTACCCCGAAGATCCCCTCCGCCCCACGTCTGCTGTGTTGATGGGGTACTGTGGTCCTGTCCTGAGTCCCTGGTTTGATTCCTGGCTCGAGCACAGCCGGAGGAAAGGCCAGGCTGTCTGATCCTGACAGCCAGCCACGAGGGTCACTTCTCAGCCAGTCACGGAGAGGGTGCAGCATTGGGCCGGCTTTCCCTCTCCTGTGTTTTGTTGCTGCAAGTTGGGCCGATTCAGTGACAGCTGACCACGGGCTTGTCCACGATGGCGGCCGTGAAGGGGGGGCAGGGCTGCAGAGACCGATCCTCAGTGGACCCTTGTGTAAGGTCATGCGCAGTCAGGTTCTCTGCACACTTTCCTGGGGTCTCTGAGGTTGCAAACGAGCTCAGCTGCCCACCAAAAACTGCAAGTTCGGGTCCACCCAGCGAAGCCTCGAAGGAAAGGCCTAGCAGTCTGCTTCTCAGTTGCTGAGACCTGTGGAGCCCAGGCCTGCTCTGCCTCAGGGCTCACCCGGGGTGGAGTGTGTACCTGACGGTGGCCAGCACTCTCCTGTGGACACTGACGCTGACCACAGCATGTGCCAGGTGCTGTCAGTCCATCCAGTGCCTGGAGAAGGTGGCAGGGGTCCCTGGCTCGGTGCTGTCCACTCCCTCGGCGTCAGGGCCATCGGAGGAGAGTGGAGACAGCTGTCCTGGGGGTTACCTGTGGTAGAGGGCTAAGAGGTCCCTGCTGTGGCCAGAGGAACCACCGGGAACCCATCTCTAGCTGTCTGCCCCAGGTGAATGGGGGGGTGAGCACCCCCATTGGCTCGGGCCCCCTGCGGGCTTCATTTCCAGATCTGATTTCCTTGAACTGAGAGCTTGCTGCAGGTGGGCCTGGTCATTGAGGGACCGCAGAGCACTGGAGGCGGGCTACTGCCCAGCGCTTCCCCCCCCTCCCCCCCCCCGCATGAGACCCAGTCCATGGGCACGCGTGGCCACAGGCGCACCCGAGGCTGTGGTCACAGACAGGACAGGGATCTGCCAGACCCCTTCTCGGTGACACCAGGACCAGCCCCACTGCCTGTGCATCAGTCCACTCACAGCAACCTGCAGGGCGAGGCAGAACCTCCCAGAGGGTGTCCAGGGCGCCACTGTCCACAGAAGCAGCTGGTGGGGACACACGGCTCATCTCCCAGCTGGCAGCCTGACCTCTCTGCACTGTGTCACCAGCACACCCTCTCCCGGGACGTTAGATCCCTGGTGGGGACGCAGTGGGCTCTTCCTGAGAGGTGAGAGCAGGCCAGAGGGCTGGGGTTTTCATCGCGTGCCACATGTCACAGGGCTTGGGCAGCACCACCCCCTGCCCGGGCACACCGACCTCCCGTGTTCACCACGCTGCCCGGCCCCCCTCCACGGTCCCGGTAACCTGCTGAGTGGCCCCTGGGCTGTCCCAGACCCCGTGTGCCCAGTGTGCATGACTGACTGCCAGGGCTTGCATATTTGCTAGCTGACATATTTTCAGGGGGACTTTGATCTCTTAGAACTTGTACGCTTCGGGGATGTTTTCATTTTGTCATTGTTGGGAAATCAAAGTTGGCCGTTTTATCAATCCTTAAAGGGTTCAGTCTGATGCTGTGTTCACCGTGTTGTGATTGTCACCACAGCACTTCCCTGACCCGGGCTCACCCTGCACAGAGGCTCAGGGTCTCTTAGCCCTCACTCCTCGGCCCCCTGTCCTCACCTGGTGACCACGGGTCCCCTCTCTGACTCCGAAGGCGCCTGTTCTGGACTTCTCAAGGGGGTGAGACGCTGCCTGGCGTCTTCCTGGCCTCCTCCCCTCTCACAGCGACGTGCCCTCTTGGTTCTTCCCTGGAGGAAGGGGGGCTGGAGTGTCATTCCTTCTAGTGGAAGTTGGACGGTGCACAAGGCAGGTCAGAGAAGAGCTGGTGCTCTGGAAGTGTGCAGGTAGGTGTTGAGTGCCCACGGCCTGCCACAGACAGTGAAGCACATCTGTTTGGAGAGATGTGAGGCCGGGGAGCCACCCCACGGAAAAGGTGACACGGTGTCCTGCGCCCCTGGGGCGTGACGTCAGGAGGGGCCAGGCCCTGAGAAAGATACGGTTTCTGATGACGGAGGTCAGTAAGATGCAGAAGGACGTTGCTTCTGGTGACAGAGGTCAGTAAGAGGTAGAGGACGTCGCTTCTGGTGACAGAGGTCAGTAAGAGGCGGGGCGTCGCTTCTGATGACGGAGGTCAGTAAGAGGCAGAAGGCCCTCCGTGGATGGTGTGGTGACGCAGTGACTTCAGCGAAGGTGGCTCAGGATCGTGCGGGTTGGGTTCTGTCCATGTGCTCGGTGGGTCAGGGCCTGTGGGTGGACCCAGGCCTTTTGCCCTGTCGGCCGCGGGCAGAGCCGCCGTGACGGTGGTGAACGTGTGTCTGTGCGGCATTGCTCTGATTGGCTCGCATGCGCCCCAGGAGCAGAGCTGCAGGTTAGCTCTGTGGGGGGACCAACCCTGGCTCCCCCGCAGCCACATCTTCCGTCCCTCAGAGCGCTGGGGGAGGTACATTCACTGTTAGGAAGCAGCTTTTCTTCTGACGCCCAAGGCCAGTGAGTCCTGGGCCTGCGGTGCTCTTCCGGGGGAACGCAGGACGAAGCCAAGTTTGCCTGATGCGTCCACGTAGGGCCCTTGGCCTCCCTGTCGCCTCGACGGCTCGTGCCCTGTGCCCTGTGTGCCACTTACCGGTCTTCTTGTCTTCTAGCACCAAGAAGCGGGAGGGTGAGCTCACGGTGGCCCAGGGCCGGGTCAAGGACCTGGAGTCCCTGTTCCACCGCAGCGAGGCAGAGCTGGCCGCGGCCCTGAGCGACAAGCGCAGCCTCGAGAGCGACGTGGCCGAGCTGCGTGCCCAGCTGGCCAAGGTGGGTCAGGCCGAGCGTGGCTCGTGGAGGAGGGTGGCCGAGGGCCGTCCTCTGGGCTGGGCAGGGGCCGCAGACATGTCCCTTAGGGTGGCCCCTGCTGTCTCCTAGGCCGAGGATGGCCATGCGGTGGCCAAGAAGCAGCTCGAAAAGGAAACCCTGATGCGTGTGGACCTGGAGAATCGTTGCCAGAGCCTGCAGGAGGAGCTTGACTTCCGCAAGAACGTCTTCGAGGAGGTGGGTGTCTGTACTGCAG